GTCTGTGCTTTTACAATGGTTCTGATTCATAGTGACCCTGCACAATATGAGTAAAATTAAAGCAAAGAAGTTGGTCGAAATTTTGGATACAGCAAAATTTTCTGCTCGCGCTATGGGCTACAGCAAAAGAAAATAGTCAACAGGGCAGCCTACTTATTTTTTTGGTCTTTCAAGTTTATTTTCAGTTTCAGGCATTTTTAATGCAAAAGAAAAGGGTATTCTGCCCAAGCCGTATCATTTTCTAGGTATCATGAAATTGACTACAGCTGTGCAAAAGCTCTATGTAGCTCAGGAGTTAAATGTCAGTGATAGTAGAGAATCTATTGTTACAAAGTATCTTGAACGTATAATCAACATTTTGCTGGAGAAAGTTTAATCCTGTTTTTGCTGTGCTTTGCTTCTGTATCACCTACACACACAAGCTGAGAAAGGCCCTAAATGTACACTGGGGCTCCTACGCTACCAATGAGCAGCTCTATGGGGAACTACCTCGAGTAGCTCAGTGGCGGATCCAGCCAAAAATCTGACTACCGCCGAAATGAGATAGACGGTCGATTACACCCTTTTGGCCACACCCATTTCCTGGTCACGCCCTGTTTTCTAAAATGATTATTGTTTTCTATAATTTCTTATGTAGACCATTTTCAAGAGACAAGCGGTGCTTTACTGAAATTTCATGTATCCTTACAACAAGCTTGAGAAGAAATAAATAATCTTATTTTATATTCTGAGGATGGATATACTAAAAAAAATTTACGGCATTTAGCCGAGGAACACCATAGAATAAGAAAAAAAGATACATTTGGCAGAATTTGGAAATTTTACCTAAAAATCGCATTAAGTCACACAATTAGTTATGAAAATCAGACCTATTGGAAATTATAAGTTTAAAAAGCCAGATAAAAATTGTAATTATTGAGAGCAACTTTTGTTAAACAAAGAACTATACTTTTGGCGAACTTTGTGGGCCTGACTTTTAATTCTGATGCCTTCTTAAATTTTAGAATATTTGAGTCTAAATATTCTTATAAAATATATTCCTACCAATATTTGTGTATTGTACAAAATACACATCGTCTTTGAAGTTAAAGTTTGCGTAGGCATTCCCCCATCTTTCTGTAACGTTTGAGCCGTGTTGAGCGGCAGTACTACTCAACCCCCCATCTGAGCGGTAGTCAACTCGGTTGTTCATTGGTTGTCAACAAAATGCATTATGCAAAATGCTTTAACCTTTTATTTCACTGAAAAGTTGTATAGGGAAATTTTATTAGTTTCATTTGACTTATTATTTTTAACAGGACAGACGTTGATAACAGCGATTTTTCGCTGAAGTGTTTAAACGTGTATAAATATTCGTATTATTATTATTATTAAGCCATCCCTGCAAGACAAGCGCATTGCCTCTGTCGCATTGTTGACCTAAAGAAAGTGGATCTTAGCTAAACCGTGTATTTGTTGAGACAAATCTTAAAAGAGATATACAATACAAATCTGTGGATAACTTCCGTCCCTGAGATACGTTAAAAACATCCAGCTTGCTTCAAGTCTCTGCAAGGTGTACCAAGCCGTCGTTCCACAGCCATTTGATGTAATATTGGGAGGTTTATCGGAAACAAAAGAGACTTCAAAGTGATATAACGGTTACAGAAAAGCTAGGACATAAAAATGGTTAATCAAAAACCAGACTATTATGATCTGTGTCGCAGGTACTACACCAGAAAACGTACGTTTAGTAGGAACGTAGCAGAACATATAACCAAGCGTGCATTCTTACAGCATGGTTCTCTAATTAACTGATTATTCTAATTTATGCAATGGTAAATTAATATGTGCATAAATCACAACATTACACAGACGAGCGTTGAGAATGTGCTTATTATTTATTTCATATTATTCATTGACGTCCATTCCAAAAGGTTTCAATTTGATCGATCCATCGTGAAGTTTATTGATGGCAAACAAGTTGTCTGGTTCTGGATTTGATTGACAACAATCATACCATGATATGTTCAAGATTGTTTAGACAAGTGAACATCCGGAATAATCTGTTATAATAGGCTTTGACAAAAAAAGAAAATGGGGAAAGAAAACGTGTTACGGATGAGGTGGTTCTCAAGAAAGTTGGTTCTTTGGAAAAATTAGCTTAGAGCTTTTCGGCAAAAGTATTTCGTTTTCAGAACATTTTTACTGGATGACAGTGCATTGAAATGAATTGAATTGCCGAAAAATTGTAAGGTACCGCGAGAGAGAGAAAAGCAAGTGAAGCAAGATGGCTTCTAGACAGACTGATCTTTTTTGCCTGATATAACGAGTCTGTTTTTTCATTGGTTTTGCAAATTATAAAAGCATGAAAATAAGAGTAAAATTCCACACATCTCATGGTAAGAATGATTCTACTAGAAACAATTTGACAATTTAGCAGCATTGATAATTTATTAGAATCTAGAAATATGGAGTTAATTGTCAATTGTCAACCTCAACAGTCATGTGCTCGTGTTTCTGATTGGCCTATTTCGATCCACAACTGGGTATATATTTTTCCTAGCGTAGAGTTTTCGATCTATGTTCTGACGTTTTAAACTCTGAAAAGTGTCAGACGAAAAGCTTTAGTTTACTAAATGTTTGCTTCTTTCAAAGCCATTTTCAAGTTTTGAACCACCAAAAGGAGTTAATTGTCTGAAGAATTCTGCATGGTGGAGGTATGGTAGAGTCGTCTCATGCAGTGACTTAAAGACCTTTGCTTTAGTTTCACCAGTTATAAGCTGGTCAATGGTCTTGAAGCCCGTCCTGTCGTTAGGGGTGCCAAAGTTGCTGTTATTTATGATCGTCGCAGCTCAGTTTGAAGTTTCTGTAACAAATTAGCCTCAATTGGACCAGCACAATCACAAAAAGAGCAAAAATACCGAAAATGTGGCTCAACAATACATCCGCTTTTCTGGCATGACTTAGATCGCCAATAGCTCTGGAAACTCTCTTCATGTGTTCTTTCCTGTTAAGACAATTGTCTAGCACAAAGCCAAGGTCACTTGTTTCCTGGATCACTTCAAGTTATTTTATGCGAATTTTCAAAATTTTACGCGAATTTTGAAGGTATTATGTTTTTCTTGATAGAAACGAGCATATAATTTTGTTCGCAGCATTTAAGGACAGTTTACTGCCTTTAAGTCAAGTGTCCAGTTGAATGAGATCGTTATTGATAGCGTCGTTTAGGATTTTCATATCCGAAGATTGGCATAACAGACTCGTGTCATCAGCATAAATGGTAACGACAGAATAATGGACAGCATGCTGCAGATCAGTTATATGAGTAAGAAAAGAAGGGGGCCTAGACATGAGCCTTTGAGCACACCAACTTCTATTTTCTCAGTTTTTGAACTGATCCAATTGGCTTTTGGCTTCGCTTGTAAAGGTATGGTTTATACAATGTGAGTCCTAGCTATTGGTATTGGTGTGAGTGAGTTGTAATGTGATGTTAGTTATGAGTTGCAGATGTGAGTTGTAAAGAATCAAATGAGTCAACAGTATCATATGAGTTTTTTAGATCAATGATTGTAAGAGCGACAAGCTTGCCAAGGACAGAAAAGCAGATGAATAAAAACCTTTGAGATGAAAAGATACTTGCTGGCATCATGAAATAGCCACCTGAGTGACCGAGGAGGAAGCCTTCAAATATGGGGCCAAAATGGCATCAAGCAAAAGCATTCGAACCTTTGTTTTAGACATAAACAGGGTTAAAACATTGAAAAGGTTCTTTTTCACTGGAAAAGGTGTGTCTGTTAGGCCTACAACGAACACATTTGAAGTCAACCTATATAAACGTGTTATGGAGTGGTTGAATAATTTCTTAAAGGCAAGGATGCACTCTACTTTTAATTATATTAATGCTCTACGAAAGAATTATACTAGATACAGTTGAGGAGGTTTCTTGAAAGATGGAAGCTTTACATTCGACAAGCTACAATTTGGTGATATGTTTTCCATGCAGGCAGTTATGAGGTCGTCAAGCAGGTATAATAGAATATGACATAAAATTTAAAAAATATTCCACGAACCAAGTCTAGAAAAAAAGCAAATGGAAAATATAATTGAGCAGCTTGTTTTAACTGCTCATGATGAGGGTCCGAAGTAAAAGTGGAGTTTGTAAATCCATGGAAATAGCAGAGCTCTAAATTTTAATGCAACATGGAGACAAAATGCAGATAGACCGACACAGGATATATGATTGAAGGCTGATTTGGATTGAAACATCGACGATTACACTGGTCATAAAGTCAGAAAAATCTAAGTCATTAAGTTTAGTAGACTTGATGAAGAACTATGCTCCAAATGTCGTTAATAACCTCGTTATAATTTCCTAGTACAATTTTACTTGAATTCCTAGTTACATTCTATTGTATTGTTTTATAATTTTTCAGGATATAAAATAACTGTTGAAAATAGGTAGAACTCAAAATAATTTTTGAAATGGAAACCGAATCCATGAATTTAAAGTTGCGAAAAGGACAAGATTATTTAGAAAATGACTAAATCCAGCCACCGTTTGTTCAATGACGTTTCCTTTAAAAATTTATTTTGAATCTTGGTATTACCTGTAATATGCTCGCAGGGCATTAGTGAAACCTGCCATACCCGCGATAGGCCACCGTTTCAGTTTCAAATTTTTGACAGTTTCCATACTGCATTGACGCCAAAGATAAAAAATAAAAAGGGAAACACTTGGCAATATTAAGAAAAACAAGATAAAGAATCTTCATCGGCTGTCGTTAGACTGTTTGCGAAACAGTTCTCTCTTTCAATATAGAGATCAAAATTATGACATCACAATAATATAATTTTAGAATTTTTGAATTTTGATCTCAAAGCCTAAAAGAGCAGCATTGAATACCTCTAGATGTGCAAAATCAGCGACAAGTGTTGGCTGAGATATGGTCACTTAAGCACCAAGACCAAGTCATGGGACCGAATGCTGATCTTTGTGGGCATCCTTGTGTTGTTTCCTTTCATTCACTTCTTATATTTCCTAGTTGGACCCTATTCTGTCTTTGCTCAAAGTAGGATGTTATTAATCTCAGAGAATCTTCGGCCAGGCCATAGGATTCAAGCATTTTTAGTAGGAGACTAGGAACCATGGAATCGAAGGCTTTGCTCATGTCTGTTGAGAGGATGGCTGTTATTTGTTTATTGTCCAGGGTGAATTTCCAATCCTCAATCAGTCTCAGCAGCGAAGTTTCTGTGCTGTTTTGCTTCTTGTATGCTGTCAAGCACGGGCTTAGTTTGTTGCCAAATGAATGTGTATCTTGCTCACTGAGCGCCTTCTCAAAAACCTTGTCAACTGCATTGAGAACTGTTATTGGCCTGTAATTTTCATGGACGTCTTTATCTGCTTTCTTGTGAACTGGTGCCCATTCTCCTTTTTTCCACTCGATGGGCCACTTTCCTTGCGTGATGCATGAGTTATATAATGATGTTAGAGATGGAGCTAGTTGTTCAGCATTCATTTTAAGAAATTCAGGCGTTATTCCATCGCATCCAGATGTTTATCAATGATTTGGCTAACTAATTCATGCCAAAAATGGCATTTATCGTCAACTGAATCGAATGTCTCTGTCACTTGCCAGGGCATAGCTTCAATATCTTTCTTTAGTTCTTCATGGTTTAGAATCTTTTCACTACGGAAGGTAATAATTTTCTTTTTATGCTGTTTGATACATGTATTCATCAGGCCAAATGTCATAAAATGATCACTTAAACCGGAGTCGAGCTCCTCACTTAGCTGGAAATTATCTGGGATATTTGTGAGAATTACATCAATCAATGTTTGTGTTTTATCAGTGACTCTGGTTGGCCTTTCAATCATGCATTGCAGATTATGTACCTCTTCTAATCCAATAAGTATTTTTCCCGACTACCAATTTATTTCCCTGCATTGCTGCCCAGCCTTCAATGTAATTTATCTCTTTCTTGACTTTAAGGAAATGTTCCTTTCCAATAGCTTTTGGTCGTCTGTAAAGGCAAAGAACAATTAACTTGACTCCAGGTAGCTCTATGCTACATGCATGAACTTCGAATTTTTCATAGAATTTTTTGGGCGTTCTCAATTTCTTTGATATTACTTTCTCTGTTACATGGGGCCATTATGCCTCCTCCACCCTTCTTTCTATCTTCCCTAAAAATTCTGTAACCCTCTATTTTGAATTGTTCATCTGGGTAAGTGTTGTCAATTTTCGTCTCTGTTATAAATAAATCTGCGCACTCAGGGATTTGTTCAGTTCTATTAGGTCTTCTATTTTATTTTGTATGCTGTTTATATTTTGATGGCAGATTAGCACATTCCTATTGTCCTTGTTACGCAATTCTAAGAGCCTTTTTTCTGCTGTTTCTGTTCATATCCTATCAATTGTTGAAAACTATTTCATTCAATTGTTTCATTAAACATTTCATTGCATCTCCATTGTCATTAGTTTGACCTGCACAATTGATCAAAATTCTTGCAGGTTGCTGCAATCTGCAAAGGGTAACGAATCTTTACATTCCCAGATTTGCTTGTAAGTACAAGTAGGGCAGTACCATGTTTTGACTTTCTCCAGCCGTTTGTGTTCACTTACTGATGCATGACCACAGTTTTTGCCGATATGGCAAAGCTGGGCACATCACAGGTTAAGGCTCGGTGTGTTTTTGCAACTGCTTGGTGTACATCACCAGGCATGAGTAAGAGGTATTCACTGCTCTCTAGTAACTGGAAACAGTAACAGTTTGAATTTCTATAACCTGAAATCCGTGATTTGAAAAACTACCGTTTGCTCCTTGGTCTTTGACTTAGGCCATTTCTACAACGATGAACTTCTGGCACGTTTGGGTGTAGTGGTTTGTTTAACGTCCTAATCCCCCAGCAACCCGTGTCTGGTTTATGATCTTTGCAGTGTCTGTGGTGCAGGAGGGCAAATAATGGTAAAAGCAGTCCAGCAATTACAACCAACGCGCTTGTACAAGCTCGGTGCGAAAAACAACGTCTAGCCGCCATAATTGCACGTGAATCAATCAACATTCTTCTGCAGAAAACACTTCTAAAGAAAAATCTTATCAAACCATTCATAAACTGTATCTTAAAACAGCAATATTACCAGTCATCAGTATTCAAAGGATCCTGATCAACCACCAGTCAATAACGAAATCCTCTGAATGTCACTATAGGGACATCGTTTATACAAAACACTTGATGTGTTAAAGAGGCTTTGCATTTAACATACTATGAATCAGAAGGACAAGATGGCAGGATCAAAGATGTTGCCGTATTTCTTAGCTCTTGCTGGGTTCGTGACATTTTTCATTCTGTTTATGAAGTTTAATGAGTATGAATTGTTAGTTAAGAGATCGACAAGTCTCTGCAAGGACAATGAATCCAAAAGGATGCTGGCGAAAAAGCTTGAAGATGAAAAACGCGAGGTGAATACCATAACTGTCAAATATGACAAAAGGAATATCTTCTTTACATATAAGGTCTACAAACCAATGCAATCTAATAATAAGGCGACGATAATAATGAAAGGCTGCCCGAGCAGACGAAACATCGCGAATTTCGCTCTAGTTACTGGATTTATTGACTTGCGAAGTAAAACTTATCGCAAAACACTAGGTGAGCTAGCTGAAGAGACAGAAGAGAATAATTTGAAAATTGATGCGAGGCACATGGAAATTATTGACGTTTTGCAACATAACCTAAACCACAAATTCATTGACGAAGTACACGTGTTAGTGAGAGATAGAGAAACTGCCGAATATTTGCATTCTCTGCCTCTCCAGAGGAGTGAGGAGCTTTTCATTTCTGTTGTTAATGAAGAAGTTGGACTTACAAGCCAGCTACTATACGCTGCAAGATGCCTTACAGATCATTTGGTAGCTATAACAAATCAGGATAACAAGTTAGGCAAGGGATGGGACTTGCCGTGGTATGAGGTAATCAGGGACACGAGAACGATGTACGCTTTGACAAGACATTCCCCATTAGAGTCGAATTGCACTTCGCAATGGAATTGTGATGATGGAGGCATCTACGTAGGCTCTCACGACACCTTTGTTTTAAAACCTCTAAAGGAGTGGACGGAAAGCACTTTTAGTGAATTGAAGGGGATCTCGCCTGATTTGTATGGAATGGAGAACCTCTTAATGTGGTTCCTTCAGACAAAATTGGGCTATCGTATTTTAACCCATGCAAAATTCTGTTCGTACACCATCATCATTGTGTTCCTATCCGAGGCCTAAATCGGCACAGAGTTAACAACAATTACAGAAGCCTTACTGTTGGCTTTTCGGACAGACTAGGCTCCTCTTACGATCGTGATATTGAGGAGGAACTGTATTTGTGATCTTTGGCAATGTAAACTTTAATAGCCCGGCGAAAGAGTAAGGTGACTGGAGTCGATTCGCTCTTATTTCAACAACAAACTAAGTGGGTTCTCTTAATCTATTCATATAAAAGAAGCAGTGTTTATATGATGTTTTCGGTCATTGGCTTTTTGGGCCAAGGATTTTATGAGATCCTGTGTTTTCTCATAAAATGTCCCCTTTTCCCCACTCGCTACACCACTGAAAATTAATTGAAAAAGGCGAAGGTAGAATTTTTACATAGCTTTTTGCCTTATTCCATGGCAATGAATCAACGAATTAAACAAGAAATAATCACGAAAACAAGCTGCTGTCAGCATTTTAGGTAAAACATTGACAAGAGATAAGTTCTGAGCTTTCAAATATCATGCAATCTTAGCAGTTAAAGATATTTGTTGGAATGTAATGGGGAAGACAAGATTGATTTGATATTTTTCTGAGAGCTCTTTTTCGTGTTAAAAACTGAATTTTTGACGTGCCAATGTCTGACCCACCAATGACACGAACGAGGAATTGTCAATGCTTGCCGAGAAGAAAGATTTTTTCAGTTCTCTCAAATGATGATTCCATCTTAGCTCTTCATCTCACAAAAGACCATGAAATTTGATTGATTCTTCTCCAAAAACGTTTTTGTTTACTGTTTTTCACTAAAACACTAGAAGTTACTGATATCACATAAATTATAATTTGTTCTTGGATGAAATCTTTTGAATCATAGCAGGTATCTGGATTAATGTCAGAGAGGCAGAGTTTAGACTATTTTAAACATTAGCATAGTTGTTGGTTAATAGAAGAAAAAGCAGATGTTTTAGAACTGATCCCTAAAGCATACCGATTTCTTTCATTTAGAAAACACATTTGATGAATTTCCTTTTGTAATGTTAACACTTGGAAATAAAAAAAAATAAGATATACTAGAGTATGAAAGGAGGACATTTATATCCCCAAATCGAGTCCCTTTGTTATTTAAAGTATGTTGCTTAGTCTAAGTTACACTAATCGATGCAAGATTAATTGAACTAATTTCTTGGAAACCGATGAGTAGCTCTATGGAAAAATGTGATTATTAGGTTTTCTTCTTGAAATAGAGTAGTACTTTGGTGAATTTTGATATCAATGGGACAATTCCTTTGGTAATGGTTGTACCTATGTTTTTGCAGTAGTTTCAATCACCTTTTGGATTCTAAGATTTAGTTGAATTTAAGAACTTGCAGCGTTGGATGACTGGTAATTGTACTTAAGTACATCAAAGTTGTTGTGAAAAATTGTTGAATTTTTCAGTAATGAATGCCAAGTTTAAGATATTATCAAGACATTGTTGTGTTTGTCTACTTGCTAAAGATATACATTTACATTATACTTTACAATATTGTGCAACTCTTTCTTTTTTATATGATCTTTTGAAAATAAAGATCTACTGTGCCTATCAAGGCTGAAATGTACATTTGACCATCGACTCTCCCACCATGACAGGCACTCCCACTTATCCTACCCTCACTGTGTTAAGTATAAACCCATGGTACCCGTACTGTGTTGGATATAGACTTTCGTACCAAAAAAGTCCTAGATTTAAACGTATCGCTACTAAGTGTAAGTATATGTTGTCAATGATTGTGTCTTTATTAAGAAGGTTAACATCAAAGCCTCTCATCCTAAGGACCGCTTATTTGTCAGTTTTGGAAGAATAAACTGAGAATGAGAATTAGGGAAATCTGTGCCAAAATTTTGATGCCTAAAAGCCCAACAAAATAAGTTATTTAACTTCTGCTTTCGATCTCAATTTCTATCGTTTAGCAATCTTTACTTTTGAAACTTCATTTTTCGAACAAATTAGAGCTGAGAAATGTTTCTACGTAAAGGCCCACTCCGTTATTTTGACTCGAAAATAAGACTTTACAAAATTTGCATTCATCTATATCAACGTTTGTAAATGTTTTATTTTATACTGATTACCACGTTTTAGGTACTCAAATAGCATCAGTCTAGTTTCTTGTATGTGGAACAAAGTGAAACAAGTTTGTCATCGCGATTAAATGAGAGACTCTTTATATTTGTGTGAAGAATAAGTAAGTCGCTATGATGACCAACTAAGGAAGAATGTTCTCTAAAAGTAATGTGATTTTATCTATTGATTCACTTGTTCGTTTATATCATCATGTTCACTGATAGAGAGCTCCGAAATATCAAGGCAAAATGTATTTATTTACGTCTAATAGAAAGAGAAACAAGTTACACACAAAATCAGAAGAAAGAAGTTAAGACACTTGTGACGTTATTAGCCTCGTATTTATGTTATGTTGGGCATGCGCCCGGTTCGTTATGTTATGTTATATTATGTTATGCGTGAGAATATGAAATGGAGTATTGAAGTTCGAATTCGGGTGTTCTTTCGTTGTTATATACCGGATATTCTTACAACACTAGAGTTGTATTTACCAATTATAGATGACCAAATTAAGCATTAAAGTTCTTTTATTTGATTTGCAACCAAATAGCAGACAGGGGTCTAGATAGAAAAATTCATAGGGGGAAAGGGGGGGGGGGTGGTTGTTAAGAAATGTCGATTTTCCAACAAAATTTTGGAAATTTTGGTACAGATTTTCATTTTTCAATATTCTGAACATGACGTAAGGCCATTAAACTTATAAACTTTTTTAATTTATTCAAAGTCAAGTTAAATTTATCCTTCAGCGCGAACGTTTTTCTCTTCTTTTTCTCTAAAAAAGCACTTGCGAATTTCTTGAATCAATTTGGACAACAGTTTCTCTGTTCATTGAGATACATGCAAGGTTAGAAAGTCGATCCTCAGACATAGCACTTCTCAACTATGCTTTCGCTCGTTTCAAACCCTCTTTCATCATGGGCTGATGACACTGGGAGAGTGAGCGTTAAACGCAGTAACTTTGCTATGTTTTCAAAAGACGACCTTGAACCTTGTCTGTTGCTGCCTTTGTTATGGTGAGAATGTTCAAATTTTCAAGTACCTCAACATTACAATCGAAGTTATCCCTTACATTTTCTACAGCACTCACATTCGCTGCACAGCGAATATCTGAAATAGATTTGGGCACTTGCTTCTTCTTGTTCATTCTTTCTTGCTCTTTGTGCATATCTAAAATTTGCTTGGGGCTTGCTACAAAAGACACATAACTTTTCAAGTAGACCAAAAAAGTCCTTTCTTTGAAATCGTAACACTAAGATACGAGTAAAAGACGACCATCGTTAATTTTCCGACAGGATCAGAAATTTCCAACAAAATGGCAATTAAGCTTTGCAGGAGAGTTTTCGCTCCCCCCCCCTGACCCTTCCCTATCTACGCCACTGATAGCAAAACTGTTTTAAGTTTTGCAACAGACTTCATATCAGTCGTGAATCAGTTGAATACAATCAATGTTCTTTTCAACGATTACTATGTATTCAATTGATATTAGCGACGATCCGATGCTTTGATTTTGTCAGTCTCAATTGAAGATCGTTTAAGCGATTTCCCTGATGCAGTGAATCGTTAGGATTCATTAAATGAGTGAAATTTTAACGAAATCTTTAGCCAGGTACATGTTCACTGTATTTACTGGTGGAAGATAATATTTCAAAGTTGCCTTGAAAGCAACGTTTAAAATTGATAAAGATAAACTTGAGTAATGGATCTGAAAAAGAGAAAGGCTTAACGGTATTGAATGATATAAGAAAAATAAAACTTCAACGTTAGGAGAAGTCTGGTAGAAGTTCTTCCAATATCATTAAAACAGCCTCACATTTCCCCCCCTCCTCTTCTTCTCTTTCCCCTTCATTCCCTTCCTCGTTTCTCTCCTTTCTTTCCTCCCCCTAATTATTTCTCCTCTTAGTCTTTTACTGTGTTTCTTCTTCTTTACCTTATCTTCCTCCTCTTCTTCATCTTCAGTAATTTACTCTTTTGTTGGTTTTGTGATCTTATTTTAAAACAAAATAGCTTTAAGCTACCATAAAGCAATTTTTCTAAATCAAGTATTTACAAAATTTTTAGTAAATCTTGTAAATACTTTTCTCTCATAAATTTATTCAAGTAACTTCTTCTTTTTCTTCTCCGATTCCTAATTCTTTCTTCATTATCCTGCATTTACTTCTCTTTTCTCCTTCCCTTCCTCCATTCCTTTATTCCTCAAACCCTCTTTTCTTCTTTCTTCTTCTCTTTCTTCCTCCTAATTCTCTTCTTTTTATTACCTTCCTTTTTCCCCTTATATCCTTCTCTTCTTCTCACTCTTTCCTCATTTATCCTGCTACTTACTCTCTTTCTCTCAATTTTCTTCTTCTTCCTCCTCTTCTCCCATTTACTCTTCTTTTTCTTTCTTTTTTTCCTTTTTCTTCCGTCTTATCCCTCCTTTTCCTTCACCTCTTCCACCTCCCCCTCATTTTGTTTTTCTTCCTCTTTCCTTTCGCTCATTCTCCCGCTGCTTTTCTTTTCTTCACCTTCATTCCACTTCCTTTACAGATGTGTTGTTCTTAATTGTAGGCAATCAGTCAAAAATGATAACTATGTATCATTTTATATACCTACTATATTTGATGTGGTAAAATTCAAGAGGACGTAAGTCTGAAATTTAATGTTGTGATCAGCCTTAGTGCCCTGTGTTCTAATGGCGCTTTATTTGAAATGACGTCAGCAAAATGATAACACTGATTCAAAATGAAGATAAACGTGATGATGGCTCATAAATTTGATTCTAGGGAAAGCTACAGTTCTTTCCTAAAATACTTAGATATGGACGCAAATAATAAACTGAAAGACTTAACGTTTTTCGAGAAACAAAGCTGAACATTCAACCAATCTCACTCAAAATAATTCAAGTCTGGATTCAGTTAGGCCTAGCACCTGTTGCTAAGTTTTTCCCGAATGGAAATTTACATTCAAGTTCATTCAAGCAAGAGCAAATAAAAGTAAGTAGCAGAAGTGACATTTTCTTTCTGATCTTAACAGCGTTGTTTGTGATTATCCTTTTACATGCTTAGAGGGATAATGGGTATTTCAAAGAGACAAAATTTTCTGTTCAACCTCTTATCAACGCACGAACCTTAAGCTTAAAAAATCTTCTAACAAGTAGTACGGAAATATAAAAGCTTGATTGCATGCCTTCTATTTTATCAACCCTAGGCCTGAATTTTCCGTCAAACCTGTTGAGTGACCAAAGACCCCTTACTAATGCTGACGAGTGTTTTGCAATGCTTAGCTGTAGGCCTTAAGTTTATATCCCTAAACATGCAATACTAGGTAAGTTACGTAATTCACAAAGCCTGTTTAAGCAAATGAAGACTTACGTCGCGATATCTAGAGACAAATAAAACTAAAGTCACGACGAAAAATGACAAATAGAAAAGAGGCATTGAAATCTTCAGAAATGTAGTAAACCAGGATAATTTTGGACAGATAATTTTGAAATAGCTTAGGGGTAATTTGGGACATTACTTTAGAGTTCCTTAATTTGTTTATAAGTACCACATACGGTGTTAATCTTCATATTAATTACCAAAACATTTTGAATAGTTCTAAGGTGTATTCGTGAGAAATCATTGATATCATGTAAGGAAGTAAGGCACTAAGAACAAAGAGCAACTGGCCTACAAGTCTACGTGGAAAGAATAGTTGTGTTCTTAGATTAACAAAGATTATGTAACAAGACTACAAAAGATGAAAACAGAAAATTGCTATAAATAAATATAGAAAATTGAGCCCTCTTAATAGATAAAATTATAAAGGAGAGAGCACCCCTTTTCTAAGTTTTGGTATCACATCTGAGTAAAAAACACAATAAAAGCGGAATGAGAAATTTCCCAACAGGCTTGCTTCTGCCTGTAAACAACCAGAACTTGATAACTTTTTTAATTTTGAGAAATCATGCTCAATAACTATCAGAAGAAAACTGTTTGAAATTTCAATAAGAAAAGCTTGAAAAGGCTGTAGATGAATATCTGAATGATGGTAAAAACTTAAGAGAAGTAGAAAAAGAGTATGGAGTACCTAGAAACATACTATCGAGATGGGCACTGGATCAAAAAAGTTTTGACAGTGGATCAAAAAAGCCTGAGGTACTTAATCACAAAAAATCAAATAATGTATGTTGTTTCTACAGAAGGCAAGACAGTGTACACTGTGCTATTTTGTGGCAATACAGCTGGTAGCTGGTAGCTATTTTATATGTAATTTACAAAGGACAAGCCAGCAAAATATTTGAAACATGGATGACAGGCGATCCTCAGAATTCATCCTACAACATAACAAGGAGTGGTGGGATGGAGAAATCTGTTTTGAAGCTTGGTTCAAGGATGTTTCTCTCCTATCTGTGGTCATGTTTTTCTCATTTTTTGATTGTCATGGGTTACATCAAACTCATCAAACAGCTTTAACAGTCATGCAAAAAGATGGTGCCATTGTGTGCTTGCCACCTTACTCTTCAAGTTCTCTTATGAAATGAGGGTGTCCCACTTTGGAAATTCATCGATAATTTACGATTAATAGATTAGCAAAAAATCTTTTCGTGGTACAAAATTTAGAAAAATTGCTCTAAAAGAAGCAAACATTTTGATGCATGGTATTTAAGCTTTTCGTCTGACAATCTTCAGAGTATAAAACTTCAGAACATAGATCAAAAACTCTATGCTAGGAAATATATATACCCAGTTTTGGATCAAAATAGGCCAACCAGAAACGCAAGCACATGACTGTCGAGGTTGTCCAATCGGTGTCGCGTGTCTATTAAAAATGTTACCAATAGAACTCCTTCTGTCTACACACTAGTTGCTTTTCAATTTTTGTGTAGATAGATTCTAAAACCGCTAAACCAAACAACGATCGGGTTCTACGAATTATCCGAACCATGCCGCTATTCTAGTTTTCTTGCCAAATCTGGGTTTTCTAGTAAATGCTGCCCGAAAAGCCGTATTTTAGCATTTTCGCAACAACAGCATTTTTGCATTTTTGGAAAGCTTATTTCTGACACAAAAATTCAGCTGCGTTTACATTGTCAACTAAAAAATTTTGTTCTCGGTTCTTAATCGTTAGCATTACAGAAAATAAGTACGAACTGGGAACGAATCCAACTAGTTATGCTTTTTCAATGAGATCAAAAATGACGGAAGCGTTCCAAACTAGCACGAAACCAAACTCATTCTTCCGGTGTGTTCTTCTTTGCTAGTATATGAACGGAGGCTTAATCGTGCTATATAGCTAAATCTTAAAGATCCAATAGTATAACCGCTTCATGCATAATCACAGGCTGGTCAGGGAAATAGCTTCTTGGTGCAATGTCTTTTTATGGGTTAGTTTACTTAACGTATACTTAGCAAGTTTTTGATGAACTATACAGAAGATTTTATGTATAGTTAGTTTACATTTCAACTCTAGTCGAAACTTCAAAAGAGATAGCCTAATAAAGATCATGGTGTGAAAATGTGCATACATTAATTTATTTTGATACTAGTTTAGAGAGAAAAAATGATTTCTTATTAAATATTGTGACGTCATTGTGAAAAGATGTGAAAAGCCATAAATGTGAAAAGATAAATATCATACCTAGCTGTCAAGACTAACCATAACTCATTAGTATTTTGAATACATAATTTCTTTAACTGAACTAAACTTTAAGGAAATGCAATGTTTTGAAAGCAAAAAGTTAGTCTGATGGAAAACCAAAATAGAAATATGATGATTCATATTCAAATGCACACTCGTTTACCAAAAAATCTCGCTTAAAATCTTGTTTGCTAACAATACCAAGACAATAACACCACTTCAAAACAGCAGTTTTGTGAATGAATCAATTTTTCGAATTTCCTCCGATCTCTTTCCTCATGCCAGCATAAAATGGCGATTAGCAAATTTGTTTCTCTTTCTATCAGTGATTTATTTCAGTATAATTTCCCAATAATGTTTTGATTGATTTGTATTGAATCGAAACTGCCCGGCTTCCAGGTGTTACTGAATTTATATGAAAATTTTGATTCAAACATATTCCGGGTAGTTAATTGAGTAAACTATGCTTGAGTCATGCGGGTTTAATCTAGATGAAGATTGGTGTTAATCCATCAGTTGCATAATACACACTGCCTCATAGATAAAGATGTGCATTCTTTTGGTCTCTGCCTTGGGGTAAACTCCCATTAAGGCCTGACAGGGGGCTCCAGTTTCGAAAATAACATAACCGCTTGGAGGTTGTTAAAGTACACTTTTTTTTATAAGAACAATTTTATAAGAACACGAGCCTCAAAACTGGTCAAAAGTTAAGAACAAATTAAGAACAAGCTGAGGCTGAGCTTCTGCAAAATGCAATTTTGAACAACGTTTTTTCTCAAAAACGAGGATTTTTGGCGATATGTGGGTGCTTTTTCGGTGGATATTCAAATTTGTCAGCAAATGAAGGCTGTCTCACTTACTTTGTTGGCAAATGAGGCCTGAACACCTTAGAGCGAAAAAGCTAGCAATAGCGCTGCTTACACCCTCTTAATTTAAGAACAAATTAAGCACAATCCAGCCTCAGATTTTCGAAAAAAATTAAGAACAGTCAGCCTTAACTTAAATTTACTGGTTCTTATAAAAAAAGAGTATAGTTGCTACATCTGAAGGGGTACTTCTAATCAGATGCTTAGTTTAGCTTGCGATTTGTTAAAGAAGCACCAGGCGAATGCAAAGAAATTGATGCTTTCAAGGACATAATTTCGGTCCCTATGCTATCATTTGAGGGTTATTGTCAACGACAAGACTTCCATTTGAGGATGAATCTAACATTTTCACTCTGGCCTTCTTCGACCCTAACTGGACCCCCCTGTTATGCCATAAAGGAAGTACCCCCGGTGGTCTCTGGGGGTCTGTTCTAAAATCCAATGCAATGTTCTAATCATAAATCAGAAGTATACATAATATAATAGGATTTAAGCAAAATTCTATATTAGTGTCCACCCTTAAGCTTTTCTATTCAACGTAGTTAACTTACAGTAGTCAGTAATTTGTCTTTCTACTGATTGGTTGACAAAATTTTTTTTTTAAATTCCACCAACCATTTACACAATCCAGCATTTATTTTTTAAGTTCACAAATGAATGGTTGGTTGCCTTCTAAGGAATATATTGTGTCACTGAAATGGGAGTTGAATGAATGAATTTGATAGCCAATTTCTTAACATTTTCTGTTTAGTACAAGAATGACTTTTTGGATAACTGTTAATGTTATCAAAATGACATCCCTTGAAAGTCCTGACAAGTAAGTTTAACCGAAGACTAATAAAAGCATGCCCCTTCAAAACAGGTAAATGTATTAATGAAACCACATAGGAGACAGTTTTAATCCCTTTTTCTACCATCGAAAGATATCCACAAACAACCAACGCCTTTTTCAACCAACAATCAAAAACATGCGCTTCACCCAGGGGCGAAACTTCACTATTTTCATTAGAGGGGTATGAAGCTTAGTTGCCCGACGAAAGGGCGTGGCATGCTTGATGAAAGGGCGTGTCCTACATGAACTTCATTTTTAGAGCACATCGCCTCAAGGGCTGAAATCATCGGGAAGCCCGAGAGAGGGTCTTTAGACTCAGGCTGTTTGTTTTAAGTCAAAAAATATGCCTCTAGTTTTTCTGGTGTTGGCTATAAACATTTGTTTCCGAAAAGCAAGCATTTGTAAGGCCTGTCTTTTCTATAAAAAAAGTCTTCACTTTTTAAATCACCTAGCTATTAAGAGAGCAATTCAAAAAAGAGATTGAAGTAGGGTCTCAATTTTATCAAAGTGGAACACCAAAACACAGCTTGGAAATTTCGGAATTTAGAAACAGCTACGCAGATTACAATGTTCCAACAAAAAAGAGCTTCAGTTGCATTTTCTGAGTTTCATTTTCAATTTTCGGTTGCTCCGGAAGCAATTTCAATATTTTTAGACACCCAAGCACAAAGTACGTATATCTAAATTCACCATAACAAAATCCCTCAAGCAAAGAAAAGTTTTTTATTGGAGGTATTTTACAGGTATACCTATCATCAAAGCTCAATTTTCATGTTTTCGTAATCATGGATATTGTTCAGAAATAGAATAAACTCGAAAGATTTTTTGCATTCATATCTTGACTACAATTTCTTGATAAATTTTATATTACTTCCCGCTTGAACTGATTAAAACTTTCTGTTACTTGTTATGGTTATTCAAATTTTTTTAGTTAAAAAACTTTGGCGTCTGTATGACCATTTTCTAGCGAAGGGTGCAATACTTTCGAACCGTAAGTGTAAAACCTTAAGAGAATTTTGGGGCATAACTCCTTATGTATGTATTGTTGTGAAGGAGCAGCACGCGGTTAATCCTTCACTCTTTCCTAGACCTCGAAGTTGCATTAGTCAGTTGTTCACGCCACGTTGTAATGAAAAGGTGTTCACGTTTGATCATGTTTATTGTAAATAGTTTTATTATGTTCCTGTTGATGTTATGAAATGTTTAAAAACCCAAATGATGTCTTCTTCAAATGTCCTGACCTAAATCTCTAAAACATGTATGATTTCATGAATGAAAGTTTCATACATTTGGAAAAGAAAATATTGATTGATTTTCTCAATAACGTATTCCGAGATGGTATATCCTCCATGCTTTGATTCATGATGCTTCTAAAACTGTCAGTGTTCTATGGGCTCCGAGGCAGGATGGAACGTTGGGGGGGGGGGCTTTTCAAGGGAAAATTTAGAAATCACAACAAAAGATTTTGAAAAAAGCTCACTTGTTTTGCAAAAAGTAGGGGGGATGGGTATGCACAGTATTCATTTCCTTCTCGCATCAAACACACTTTACTTTCCGTCTATACTTTTGCTGTCGATCAATACTTCAGACTTCATCTCAAGGCGAAGATAAACATGTGCGCGTTGAGCTCCAGACGAAAGCGCTGATCGGTGGAGGACGAAAGACAGAAATGTATATATGTTGCTGTTCCTTGCCTCGTTTCTGTTTTGTTTTCCCAACTGGGAGGAGATTGAAAAAGAGATGGGGGAAAAGACCATGAATTAAAAAACCAACCTAGGGCAAAAAGTAGCAATAACAGTGCAACCTAAAGAAAATTTCCAGATTTGCCCGACAGATACGCTGGCAGCCATAAATTTGCCCGACAAAATCTGCTTTTTTGAAGATTGGGGGGGTGCAGCACCCCCCCCCATACCCCCCAGTAGTTTCGCCCCTGATAATAATGGCACTGATATCAAGCAAATCAAAACCTGGAGGAACAGTACCTTTTTGGAAAATTTCTTTAAAAAATTTTAAACCTCACCTGATTCAGACTTTGCAACAGTTGGGATAGTGAAACTTGTCTCAGTCTTAAACAGGCTACTGACTCCTGCATATGTATTTCCTTCAGAAGATTCCTCTGAGTCCTGAAATCATATGATTTGGTGTATTGATTCAGGCACACATCAAGGTTCTCAAGTAATAACCAATTAAAAAATTCCTGACAGGAAGAGGTGAAAGAATCATGACAGGAGCAGAATTAAAATGATGGGTAACAAATCAAACAAACACTAGACTTTTGTGCGAAAAATATAGCAGGCCTGCTAACCACCACATGTGTGGTGGCGTGTGACATTTTTTGCAAAAATTCATGAAAGATCTACGCAGAAATTTCCAACAGGAAAATCATGACAGCAATTGTCTCGATGAAATTTACTTGGCTGAATTCTCAGCATCTCTACTTACTTTTTAACAAAAATGTGTTATTTCTGAAGACTGGAGCAATTTTCTACACAAGTATAAACTGAGCTAATTCAATATATCATCAAAAACATGGTATTTCAAGTACAGAAAAATGTTTTTTATTTCATATTAAGCAGTTTTCATCAACTTAAAAAATGACTCATTAGCAGATTCATTAATGCTTTGGCGCTCATCTGGTTGTAATGGTTGTTTTTGCGTGTAAACCCGTGCCTGCAAGGGCCCTCTGTTAACAAGCATGACAGCTATTTTATGTACTTCACTAGCCAGATGTTGTATGTACTACTTTCGCTAAATTATCGATCGCAAATGAAATCTTGTTCACAACACTTAATGTTCCTCTTAAATTCGAGGACACAAATGTCTGTTGTAGTCTTTTTGTGTTTAGATTTGTTCACTGAAATGTCTATGCTTTGAAAAAGTGTTTGCCAATGCATGTTTGTTAATGTGTGTTTTGCCGATGACAATAATGATACACTGGGAATAAGTAGACCAAAATAGCAATAAACATTTTTAGAAAAGTTTGTAATTTCGAGGAAAATTATGATCAAGGGACCCACAATTAGATTTGTAATGATGAGAATTTGTTATATATGGGATTTGTTATTCCTAGGTAATTTGTTATACCTAGGTAATTTGTTATACCTAGGTAATTTGAACAGAGTTAGGCAGAATTCAAGGGGCCAGAAATTTTTTATTAAACCGAAAAATTAGTTATAATCCTATTTATTGGGATTCCATTGTAGATTAGTCCTATGATTATTTCAAAACTTTTCATTTATTCCGCAATCCCAACAAGGTGTCAAGACTTTTTAAAGTGGCATGTTAAGTAAAAGTACCAAGGAAGGATTAACATTTTAACTTTTCTCAAAAACCCACTAAACCAATAATTATGAAAAATCAAGAGTATATGAAGATACAAAGAATTTAGTAATAATATTGAGAACACAATGTATTCATGGTTTAATGGGATCTTGACTTTTTTGTAAACATCAATTTTGTAAAGCCAAAATCTAAAAGAATAAATATGTAGTTTATAAATGATAATAATTTAAATGCATATATATATATATATAGCTATTTGTTACCGTTGGATGCTGTATCCTATTAACTGGATTTTTGCCATTCTTTCTTTTTATCAAAAAATTACTTCTTTTCCCTTTTGATTTTCCAACAACTTCTGCCAAAGTAGTGCAACTTTCGTTTTCAAGGATGACTTCTTCAAAACTCTTTCCATCTGAGGTAGGTTTCAAAAACACCAAAGAAAATGACTGTACGACATAGCCAACTGTCTCTGCAATAAATTCATAGAATTTCATCACTGAGGTATCACCGCATAGATTTTGAACTATTTCTCTGCAATTTCCATCTGCATTTGTTTCATCTTTAACAACGCAGACAATCTTCAGTTTACTTTCATTTGTTCGCTTTTCAAGTGGGACTAAGCTTGACATCAAAACGTTTTCTTCCTTAAGGTCCTTTTTGCCGGGAGCCATTATTTGTAAAAAGATCAGATAATTGTGTTCATCGTCCTTTCGTTTTCATAGCATCTTCAAATAGCTTGCCAACTCAATTTATCGTTTAAGGAGGACCGAAGTTGTGGACAGAGAACCTCTTTGCTGAAGTTGGGTCAGGCACAAAATTGGTTACCTGAAGTACTTAACAGCCTAATCGATAACGAGGCTACGGTTGTATAAATTCATCAAAGAAAATTCCATTAGAACATTTAGAGAAAATTCCATTCTAAAATTATTTCGCTAAGTTCATGTTCTGCCCAAGAACGTGGCAGGGCAAGCTTGACTCCCCCTACCCCCCAATGACTTAAGTTGGCTTTTTGTTGATATTGATACCAAACCTCTCTCAAATTCTCTAATAACATCTAATAACTTCATAGATTACTTATTAAATAAATCGAAATAAATCGATACACAGACGTAGGAGGCATATTAGTGCGTTTTAGTCTCATAATGCTGTCAACTCGAGCCCAGTAATGTGATTTTGCTGCCCCTTCCAAGTCCGCTTGTCAATTTAACTAGAATATAATTCTTCAAGACTTTCTGTGCACCATTCAAGATCTGAATTATTTGTACAGCAAAGACAGAATTATTTATTGTGCACCAAGCTGTGCACCAACAAATTATGCCACGCTTATCTTTCCGTACTGGCTGAAAGGTGAATGGACACGTGTCTTCCGGTCCCTACTTTGTCTATGACAGGGTAATTAAAGGGTTACATGCTCAAAAATGTCTTAAGAAATGATCTTGTGGCTTTGTGTGGGTGAAATAAAGTGAATACATCCCCTTCCCAGTGTGGTTTTATAATAGTAAGTTGTTTTTGCCATTTTCTGGGTTCATTTTCTGGTAGAGAAAAATCAGTCTGATAAATCATTCTGTGTAGATCTAGGAGACATTGCTACTGCATTCCTCCAGATCTATGTCGATTTAAAAAAAAATTAGGGCTTAATTTTATGAGTAGATTATATCAACAAAACACTTCAGGGTTAATTATCTAAAAGTATCAATCTCATTAAAAATTTCAAACTAATTATTATAAAATTATATACATTTTTACTAAAAATATAGATACATGTAAATACTTTCATGTATATTTGAGAAAATGAAATTGGAAAAAAATTCAAAGATAGAAATGGAGAAAAGACTTTAATCTTAGATATTTGCGGCATTTCCAACGTTTTGACGTAAGAAGTATTTGATGTAGTTACAAATATTGGGTTTCATGTTAAACAAATTGAATAAAGAAGGCAAGAAAACATTAACAAGGTCAAAATATTGTTGCAATAATAAACGATTAACTGAAATATTCAACTGAATATATGTATGAAAATTATATTTCTTTGACAAAATATGGAAAAATAGCTGTTTCACTTATCATGGTAAATTCAGAAAAGGAATTCCGAAGAAAAGTATTTCAAACGAACCTAGTAACACAGGGTGGAAATATATTGATGACCTTGCAAGGAAATTTACCGTAGCAGAATTAATTGGAGGATGCATCATCTAAAATTTCTTAAAAATTATTAAAAATATACGATAGAAACAAAAATTCGTCGATAAAAGCAAAACTACTTTGTTTTAAAATGAATGGACTGTTAGCTAATAAAATAAAAAAAACAAAACGGAATATTTAAGCGTCAGAATAAAACCGAATTTTAATAGTGACTACACATACCATAAACTGAAAGGTTCTCCTAGGCTTTTGCATACGAGCAAATTATAAAGCGCAAAAAAATCTTGAAAAATAAATAGCCACTTATGTCCTGTTTCATCCAGCTCATTTCACAATACCAAGAAACCCGAATATAAAAAGCGGAATCACGCCTGCAAAACTACACTATTACTGAAACGCAGCAATTGACAACATTGTGTAGCAGGCGATCACGGCTAGGGAATCGTTTGGCAGTCTGAGTTTCAGCGAGGCCATCAAAATATCTATATTATCTTGATCCAAGCTTGCCGTCACAAATCGTAAGGCGAATTCCTAAAAAAAGCCAAAAACAGGTGAAGTTAAATATGAAATATCCTTACGAACATGTTTCTGTAATTTTAAACCATATCAGATCGATAGAATTTTGTGTAATGTCACTTTATATCGTCAAAATGAAAATGGCAAAAACAATGGCAAAAAGACAATGGCAAAAACAGAAGTTCAGAACACTTCTTGAGCAGTTCAGAACAAAAGGCCATTCAATTACACGAGCAGTTTAATTACATGTAATGGTGTTGTCTCGTAAACACTTGGCAAACAATTTTCACGTTATTGAAATATGTTTCAATCAAAAGTTACAGAAAAACGAATGAAAACATCTTCCTACTCATTCAACGCTATTATCAATTGACAATATCTGATCAAGTTAAATAAGGTTTTCTAAATCTGCCCACAAAAACATGACATATTATACGGTCTCAAAGGTAAACATCTCTTCAATGAATTATGTCTAAACACTCCCAATATTAGGCTCTTGGTATATTTTAATCTTATTGCAGCTGTTAAAAAAAGTGCAATTTGCGGATTGCTTAACTGAAATTAACTTAAATCTGAACTTAAAACTGTACTAAACTTAGTAGAACGATTAGGAATTGAGTCATACTGAACTTACCATGAAAGCATAGCACAAGAAATTTTCTTTATTACATTATCATGCTTAAACTCATGCTGCGGTTCACTTTCTGACCGACTATTCTTGAGCTCCGCGTCGTCGATAAATTTGATGAAACGTGGTCATTACTTGGTTTTGTAACCGCATTCCTGGCCTGCTGAAGCTCCCTATGAAATATGAGAAAATAATAATTTCTCAAACTAAAGGTTATGTACCTTATAGTTCAAAACGTGACGAAAATTGAGATAGCAAAACGTTAAAAAAACTATTTCTTACCTTGATAGGATCTCGTTTTTAAACTTTTCAGCGTTCAATTCTTTGCGCAGTTGGGCCTAGAAATAAAGACAGAAACATAAGTGCAAAACATAGCAGAGGCAATAATTTGATGGTAGAAATTTGGCGCTGAAGGATGGATATGCTGAATGTTGCAACTATCAAGACACTGTGACTTTAAGCTAATACAACTTATATTCATATTTCTAGTTGTATACCACTTCGGTGAAATTCACTCATGAAACAAGCCTATGTCACGAGCTTTTTCCCATCAGCCAAAATTTTTCGAAGCCATAAAGAAGACATTCATTCTGCTAAGTCATCTCCCCCCTGACCGAAGTTTACAACCATATACCTTTGATTTGAGAGCGTTGGGACATAACGTCGGATGTGAAAGAAGAGAGGCTGCCGAAGGTCGACTGCTCGGGTCTTTGTTTATCATAACCTGTTGGCAAAGACACGAGAAGAAATAAGGAGGATGGAAAATATCCAACATTAATGTAGGGGTGAAAATAGTCCACGATGGAAAAAGGAAAAGGTATTCAAGTAAGGAAAACCAAATAAAGATCTAGTGATTGCAGATGAAAACCATGTTCAGTGCTTTACTCCTAAAATAGTGCATATGGTAATATTGCGTTACCACTAGATGTTCCTTTGTGCAGACTTAAGGTTCTGGGCGGAGCAACTCAGTGGAACGATCTGCTGTGGAAAGTTAGGAGTGCAAAGAACATTTGTACAGTCCTAAGAATACTGTATTTATAGCAATGTATTATTTGTTTTTTAATGATATGTCTTTGTAACTAGCATTAAAACATTAAATTTTTTACCCTAGCATGGATAAAGCTTTGAAAAATTGCGAAAAATGGTAAGGTTGATAAATAATCAATTGTATCTCTATAAAGGAGAAAAAGTAGATTATGAAAAGAGAAAGAAAATTGTAATTCAACAAAGGAAAACAATAAAATACAACTTCTAACCTTTATTAATTCGTTTAAATTCAAAGAACAGTTTGGCAAAGTTAGCAGATTTCCATTCCTAGCGAAAAAGGTAAAAGTTAGTTTTAATTGTAGAGTAGTTATTGCATTAAAGGGAATAGCAGAGTTAAATTTTGGTCTGCTAAAAATTACTCTAGATTCTATCAAAATGTATAGGAACAGTTGTATTTTGATTGGCCCTCTTCCTAGAGACATGGCAATTGTCATCTTAAAATTGAAGCTTGAGCAATGTAGGTCTGTCATGTTCTACTACTCAATAAATCATATTTTCTATTCTTAAGTAATGAAGTGTATTTATCTAACCATAATAAAATAAACCACAAACATGTTCTTACACATAAACATCAATTTGCAAGTTAAGATAATTGAGATAATTGTTTTACCTTATTTCATGCCACCAAGGACCATTTTTTGGCAAATCAGGTCCACCTGCCTGATAAGTTGACATGATAACAAATTAGAACATTATCAAAAAAAATTGTTAAGATTGATAAGCAAATCTCAATTCATAACCAAATTCAGATAGAATTCAAGGTTGATTCAAAACCAATCATATTTACACAACTTATATATATAAGGGTTTTGTAAAGTATTGCAAAAATCCATATAACTTTTCTCTGCAAAATAAAATAATAAATTATTGCTGATTTTAGATTAACAGCCAAATGGTTTCTTAAAAAGAAGAAAGTTCACATGTCCAAAATACTTACAGCAAGGTACACAGTCAGTCCAAGTGCAAAAATATCTGCTTTGGGAAGACTTGTATAGTTCTAAAAAAAATAAATGTATGTTCTGAATTGCAAATTTCCAAAGCAGCCATTTGTAGTAATATCAGTGCACATGAGATTTTGAAATTCTAAAAAAATGCCTGAATTATATTCACATAAAGCATTGGTGAATATCTCATCTGTTGGTTTAGAATTTGCTAGGAGTAAAGAAGATAGGAAATACCTTTGGACATTTTCTAAGCCTAACAGACCAGGAAACTTTTCTATAGATCAGATATGTTTCCTTAAATCTAGAGAGTTAGATAAAACAAGATATCTATAAGCTACAGATTTGATACAAATGAAGTGAAGATCTCCAAGCAGATAAATTCAGACCATTCTCCGAGGCCCAAGGCTATAGCCTGCGCCCGCACAAACCCCATGCAAAATAAATTTGTGAGGGGTTTTTTCTGCCTGCGCAGTTTTTCAAACCAAGGTCCTCATTTAATGCATGCAGTTTAGTTTTCCAATGTTTGTACTACTTACCGTTCATTATCAGGGGGTTAGTAAATAAAGAGAATCAAATGGCGTTATAAATAGGAGATTGCTGTTTCCTTACATAGCACATGTTAACAAACTATTGTATTATCTTCTAAAACTTGCAATGGAATAGGAAATATGTTGTTTTCGCATGAAATGAACAACATATAGCCAGCATGATTGATGCAACAAATAATGAAAGTGAGAAACGTTACACCATGCTGTCAAAAACGAAACAATTTCTTTTCAAGTCACAACAGTAGATTTCTATCGAAACTGGGAAGAATATAAGACAGGCTTTGGGGATTTGAGAAGTGAATTTTGGCTTGGAAATGAGAAAATTCACCGCCTTACAAAGCAAAAGGATACGAAGATTCGGTTTGATCTTGAAGATGTGGATGGCAACAAAGCTTTTGCAGAGTATAATACCTTTTATATTGATGGCGAAGATAAACAATTTACAGCACATGTAAGTTCTTACTCAGGAACGGCTGGCGAATCATTTTCAAATACAAATGGGCGTAAATTTTCAACCAAAGATAAAGATCACGACACGAATCCAGGGGGAAGTTGTGCTGTGGTATATCATGGTGCGTGGTGGTATGGAAAATGTCATTCATCCAATTTAAATGGAAGATATCTAAATGGTCCACATAAGTCGTATGCCAATGGGGTAAATTGGCAAGCGTTCAAAGGTTATCACAACTCATTGAAAAGAACTGTCATGAAAATAAAGCTACGGAATTAGCCAAGAACAAAATTTAACAGAAATGGCAGCTATGCTAGCAGTTGTAGAAAATAGTTAACAACTTATGTAACAGATAAAAGATTGTAAACGATGAGAAAAATGTAAAAGAGTAGCTTATAGCATATGTTAGAAACATATAAATGCTTAAATGCCGCTTGGCCCTCCTTTATATTTGATTTCTTACAGCCAAGGGATACAAAAAGCGACTTGCGAACAAATAGCCTCTACCAGCTTGCTAGCATGAATGGATTAGCTTATGGGATCAATTCATAATCATTTAGAGGGGGTAGTTATTGGATCACCCTATCTGAGATAACAAAAATTACGCAAAGTAAACAGCATTTCAGAAATATGGTTAAAGACAGGAAGGGAGATTGTTACAGGCAAGCCATTTGCAGTATGATAACTTGTGAACATTGTAATTATAGCACTTGAGAATAGGAATGAAAATGATCCTATATTATACAAACAATGTTAAAAAATTACGAGATATATTAACAGTTGTAGCCTATAAATGAAACCTCTTTAGCCATGAACTGTAGCATTAGTGTAACCCACTTCCACAAAAATCCTGTAATTTGACAAATTTAGACTACAGGTTACGAATTGCAGCTACAATAACGGATAGGTAGAATATAAGTTTACACTTCTTTCCTGCATGCCTACTATAACCTGGTAGCCAATGACCGTTGTATGACCACGCATGAATGAACCACAGATCACGCGTAGAAGAGGCATAGTACGATCCCAGCCCTATCCAACAAATTTAAAAACGGCCTAGGTTGATTGGAACTTTTTTACACAAAGTTAGAAAATAACCTTGACCCCTGAACAAAAAAAATATGTGACAATTTGAGAATTCCTTGTCAATAACAAAAAAACACTACTGGTGGTGGGGCAGCCCCAATAAATTAGTTTCATTGAACAGCTTGCTAGAATTGACAGACATTGCCCCATGAAAGAAAGAACATCTTGAATAAATTGCTCTTTTTCTTGGGGTTTCACCCCTGCCCATGCTGGGGTCAAGGGATCTTGTCCCTATCTGGGTAAGCTATGGTAAGCTAACAACTAATGGAGAGTGCAAAACAGCTTATCTGATGATAATAAATAATTAAGAAGAAAAATATGCCTCACCTGGTCTGTATCCTTCAACGTTTCTTCCAAAGCATCAAACATCACTCTGCAGAGCTCTTGCACGTCATGCTGTTGCCATGCTACAACAGTGAAGACTCGATACATCTCCTTCTTTATAGTTGAATTTTACTGATTGGGCCTAAGTTGCTCAATACTGAACAATATTTCCATTAGACAAGGGAGAAAATATACTTAATATATGCATTGTAAAATAAAAACAAGGGTTGCTCCAAATACTTTTAGAGATACTTTTATATTTTTCTTTTACAAATGCTCAGTTAGAGTACTTTCAAAATAGCATTTAACTTTTGTAATTCTTTTAATGCTCCCTGAAACCAAGTTTATGAGAGTGTAGTATCTGAATATTTTTCAAAATAAAAAGAAGCATAGTTACAATCTAAAAATTAAATTTATTTGAAAATTTCTACCTATAGAAAAGAAGAGTAACAAAGTAATACAAAAACAAAATATACATCTATGCCTTTTTGTTACCTTCGCTGCTATCCCACCCAAAACTTTTTGTTAAATCAGTCGTCTCTACTGCTCTTTTTTTGCTTGTCTTTAAAATTTAAAAGAACACATTAATTATATCAGAAAATTTCATCATAAAAAGAAAACAATTAACACTTTGCTAAGCAAAGGTCAGTCCATACAACAATCACCATAAGCACCATCACCGTCATTTTAATTCATTGATTAAAATTTTCTATGTAAAGGTGAAACATCAAAAATTAAAATGTTTCTACAACTTTCATATTTACTGTCAATATTTCTATATCTTAATTAATATATCTTAATATTTTACAACATATTTTCTTTGAGGTTTTCAGCAGCTGCCTCCAAAAACCAAAATACAATGATCACTACTCACTTGGAGTTTTAAGAAAAGCCTCTGAAGTTGGTATGGGATACTTTTTGATGCCTCTGCTGCAGTTCCTGCAAACTTCCATCTGTAGAAGCAATGGTAGAAGGGTGTTTGATGTTAGAAAAGAAGCAACTTTAAATAAATTCTCATTATGAGTCCCAATACAAGCTAAGAGATTATTTCTCAAAAAGGCAGATTTCAATTTAACCATATTCAACATAGAAATTATATTGATCTAGTGACTTATCTTATCACTGACATCAACTGTGAGATCTTTTGAGGGGCATAGAAATATTTTGCATTTGGGATATACAGGCCTTTGACAGAGAGTGAAATTTGTGCGGCTAAGGAAACAACTAATTTAACAAAACCTGATATGGAACTCATGTAATTTCTTAACCTTCTGGAAAGTTCCTTTTCAAATGTGTTGTGTATTAAAGTAATGACTTCTAAATTAAGCAAAAGAAATGTTGCCTTACTCAACATCATCAAACAGAAAATTAATTATATAGTTGATAAACCAAGGCATCTTTGCAGAAACACTTCCAGATTCTCCTAGCAGTTACTTTGGGTCAAGTTATTATATTACCCATCTCAAACAGCCAGGCTTGCTTTGGATGAGAAATGGAATGGTCTTTTGTCAATATTTCAACAGGTACTTACAAATTCACAAGAAATTTCATACATGGCATGCAGGCATTATAGAAGAGCGAAAATGGAATGAAATGGAAAAGCACAATTGAGCAAAGTGAGAAATTCCATTTGTTTGCTTATCTAGTTTTTTGAGGCACAGTTACAAAACTGGTAGAAAGGAGCATCCACTCACCTATAAAGTGCATTTCTAAACTCTGGTGTCATAAAAAGTGTTTGCAAGAGGCTATTCAAGTAACATGTCATAGCTTGATTGATCAATCCAACAAAACCTAGAAAATAAAACCATTGGTTTAGTCATGCAGAGTTTGATTAGGAATCTATAAATCTTGATCATTAGCATTACATTGTCTCTCTTATCTTAACAGACCAGTTTCTTGCAGTCTTAACAGGTAAATATTACAGGATACAACACCTTAATGCCTGCTTTGAGATAAAATATGCTGTAATGAGTTCAATAAATATGGTGTCAAAAGAGTGGGAAAAAATTTACAGTCTGGAAACACTTCTTTTGTGTTCTTTTGAATATGATAGGACTGTGAAGTCAAACACTTGAGATGGAAATGTATTTGTGTCTCTGTGCCATCACTATATCAGTCATGAGTGACAACACCAATAAAAAATAATGACAAACTTGTACTTCTTTGTAATAACAAAATTCAAACTGAGGGAGTCACTTTTGCTCTGATGAAGCCCCGTCTCCTGGGGCAAATTATTAGTTATTATGACCCGATAGCTCAGCAGTAGAGCACTGGACGTGCAAAGTTGGGGGTCGTGGGTTCGAGTCTCGCTCGGGTCGGTTATTTTCCCGCACTCTCTATTAGTTATTATTAATTTGCTTGTGTCAATAGTTGTTTGTACTTGGTGTGTTAGTTTTTCATATTATCTACATTTTTATTGACTTTTCAACCATAAGAATTCCATGGAGCCATCTCAGCTGCTATGCTGCCTAATTGCCTTGAATACATAGAGTGGGCCATATTTGTATACAAAAACAACAGTTTAATTTTTACTGGTATGGCGCTACTTCCTCAAAAATTAGGCTCTATGTGAATTAGAATTCAACACCTTATGGACTGAACTAAGCAATAAACCTGGAAGGAACAGTACTTTAAAAAGTTTCTTAAAATTTAAACTCACCTGATTCAGACTTTTGGCAAAAGTTTGGATAAGTGGAAACGTCTCAAGTCTT